TGTCGGCACTTACGTATTGACTCTCCTGTAACCTTTTTTATTTGGGCCGATTGCGTTTAAAAGTGACAAGAACAGCACTATAGTTAGTTAGATGGACAAATCTGGTAAAATATCCTGCCAAACCGTTTCTATGACGACAACAAACTGTTCTATTATTGAGTATAATAATGTAATAACCAAGCATTACTAGTTAGGAACTTTCAACTTTCCGTGATATTACTAGATGAGATGTTTACTTCATGGTTTAGTCAATGGCGAGCACATTCACGGTGTCAGCCAATGATTAGCCGAATTATGGGGCCCGTCGAACTTAGGAATGTACTTGTACAGTTGTGCATTGGTTAACTTGGATTCATTGTAGTCATTACATGACATCATTCGACGTGATCGAGTTATAAACGTGTTAGCACGTAACCTTTGGCATGCGTTGCGTAAGTGTTGAGGGCATGCGCAATCAGCACATCGATATAGAGCAGGATATGCCTCTGATATCTTTCACATGCAGTTTTCTCAGGAATGATGTAATGTTTCTGTATTCGTAATTTAAAGCGGGAGGGTCGTCACCTGCGCACGCGCGGGAATTGAGTCCCAGGCGATGATAACAACACACACTAAACGCGTAGACGCTTGTTTGTAAACAATGACACGCTATGGCCACCTGACGCATGCGCAGGTGACGACTCCCCTGCTTTAAATGACTCAAATTGAACAAGAAAAAAAGGTTGTTAACTATGAAAGACACAATTCTGCTTAAAATGATGTAGGTACAGGGCTCCTTTTTTATTTTATTTTAAATTTTCACATTTTTTAATTATTTAGTTATTTTTGTTTATTTATGAATATTTTTTGGGGGTTTTACTTGCCGTTATATAAATACAACTTAATAACGAAAGTAAAACAAAAAAGTACTCACAAATAACAATAACAAATATATAAATTAAAAAATGTAAAATTGGAGTGTATACCTACATCTGATTGTAATCAGTTTGTGGTACATCGTCTTACCAACGTTGCTTGTCGTCGTATCTGTGATAATAAATTAAAAATTGTGAATATCAATACAAATATCCTGTAAATACAAATATAGAAAACCTTTTATTTTACAGAGGAAGATTATAAATAATGATTTATCTATTTTTATTATATTTTGTGTTCACTCCCAAGGTCATTCTTTACCAGGTTTGGTCTTCATTGCGCACATTGGATGAGCTAGTTTTTAACGGCTTCATAATTTCACAACATCACCTGCCTGATGTGAGGTCGCGTGAGTTGCGCCCTCCGCGGTGCTGTTCGACCGGAGGGAGCGCTACTCACGCCTACATGTCAGGTTACAACATCAACAGCTACTTGATATATTCAATTTCCGTACACCGTACACAGTAACTAAAAAGAGGAAAGTAGTAGTTCTTTGTGTATTCAAGGTAACTATCCAAAAAGGGAAACATAACATAACATTCCGCTGTAATTCAATGTGAGGATATGATGCTAACAACGTTTAATATTCTATTATATATTGAACAAATGAATTACTTTAATTTGTTGTATCGACACCAATAAATCTGATGCAACGGTGCAATAATTCGTAGAAAATGCGTGTCATAGACCACTTTCCTGGAAGTCAAAAATATGCCGTTCCACATGCGCGCTTAAGCCGGATATGGAGTACTAGTATAACTTAAAAATGTACGCGTGATATTGTACTTCCGGTTGACCCAACCGACGCCCCCCAAATGTTCTTCTCTCAAATATCAGCAAACTGACATATTGTATTTTCTATGTATCGACATAGCAACCGCGTTTCTGCACCCCATCCTCGTTACTTCCGGCAAAGTGGTATATTCTCAGCGACGCAACTTTGACGTGAGATGGCGTACTCAGAGAAAGTGATACTCATGGTGTCAAATGAGGGGTCTCTGACATTTTCAAATCTGATATACGGTGTGTTCCGTATAAGAGTATTTCCCACACTTTTATTGCCAGTTCTCGTATGCACGTGTGTCTAATTTGTACATATATTTCACGCAATCTTGTCAACTATAGAATCTTTTAGGGCCAATTACCGAAAATATATCTTCGTGGCATGCTTGTTACTATTTTTATCAAAATTACGTTTTGTTCTTGTCTTACGCAAATAAAAACCCATGGCATTTGTTTTTTTGCCGACCATCGAAATCTAATATAATAATTTATATCATCTCGCCACAATGTAAATTATAACTGTGTAATATACTACCACGATTCGCCTAA